TTCCTACAAACAAAAAAAAAATCATTACTAAGTATCTATCTATGCCACCACATGCAGTGGCAATATTAGAAGAGCCGAATGTTGATACAAAAGGTAGAAAATCTTCAATCGCCTATAATAGAGATCAATAGAGACGATATGGCTTCTGATGAATTGGACGAAGTGATGCAAGACATTGAGAAAATTGTATTTGGAAGAAAGGATTCGGTGGAGATTTCATGGAAGAGAGGTTGGATTCCGAGTGTGGAGATCGTTCAAGAGCATGTACCAAAGGAAAAAAAGTAAATGACTTTTTGATTTGACTAATTTCAAATCAAGAAGTCCTTTATGGAACACATCGTGGCCTAAGATAGAAGCTTCGAAGATTGGTGGGATGAGACACTCTCCTCGGTACTACTAGAAGTTGGAGAATGTAGTAGTGTTAGTTGAATGAGATGGATCCTAGTTATATTTAAGGTTCGGATCCTAAAGAAGACGATTATATGGAGTTAGTTCAAGTCATGAATCGGATGGCCACATGACGTAAGGATCAAACCCAAACAATTCGAAAATTAACTAAGAATGTGCAACGTCTGGAAAAAACAAAATGCAAAAGCAAAGAAGGTCACAAAGGCCTTAAATATATCTTACTCTGAGATTTGCAAGATCCACGGAGCTGAAGTGAGATTTGTGGAATTGAAGATTGAACGATTTCAGAGCCAATTGTGGATTTTGAGGCGAGAGTTGCACAAGGTAGATGTAGAGAGACATGCTAGATTGGAAGCATTAACAAGTAAGTGTATGTAATATCTCTTTGCTCAGTGTGACGAAGTGGAGATTGTGCGATTGAAGCGACTAATTGAAGCGAGGAACACTCCTTGTGACTCGAAAGACAAGCGGAAGTAGATGTACAAAGCCATGGGTCGCGAATGTTAGGAGGCGATTATATCCATCAGCCGTAGATTGCATATGACGTGAATAGAAGCTCTAGGATTGTATATAAATAAGATCAAAATAGTTAGAGGGATATCTTCAATTTGCAAGTGTTATGTAAGGTATTCTTCCTAAGTAGCCAGGATAGACCGAATCTCTCGGAGCCGGATGGAGACTGCAGTGGTTTACTTGACTGCATTCGATATTCTTGTGAAGTTAACCAGGAGCTCGACCTATAAGGAATTCATAAGGACTTTAATGAGCTTGCGACTTGTGTGCGAATCAACTTTTGTAATTAGCATTCCTTATCATTAAAGAAGTCTACATTTTTTAATTGTTTTTCTATTTGTGGTTGAACCCTTTGGAGTGTGATGTCCATATTCTACTAAAGATGCTTAAACTCGCATATTCACTTCATTGTATTCGTGTGACACATAGTTCCTTTGGGAATAAATCTAAAATACTATGAAGTGTATTTCTTTTGTGTAACATGTATTTTACATATGTATAAGAAAGTGACAATCTCTCACTAGACTCCTCAAAATATGAAAGTTATCACAATTCTCCCAACAATCACAGTTTTTGGTAAACAATCTTCGTTGCCCAAAGAAGCAGATAAATGATGTTGTTTGGTATGTTTTCACATATACACGTTTGTGGACGAAATAGTGCTTTGAAAGTGACAGACGATATGCAGTGAGCTGATTTGAAGTAAAACTTCAAATTAGCTTGTAAAGAAGGAATATTAGTGCAGACTACATTATCCATACTCGGTAATCATCCCCAATTTAGATATCAACGAATATAAATTGAACGTGTGATTAACATTGCAATAGCTATCACCTGGATATCAATTACTACTTTAGTTACTTGAGTTCTTTCTCGGATGTGAAAATTTAAAGCTTTCCCTATATCGTGGATTGGACGCATTGCATATTTTATTATATTCCGGTAAATGAGTTGTCATGGATATGAACATGAAGTCAGGCTGCTCAGACATGCACAGCTTTGGCATTTCAACATCAACTTTAATGGCATTCAACAGTCAGAATCCGGAATTCTCGATTCAGCTACGAACTAAAACTCACAAAGTGTCCATACTTACTTCCAACTCTTTTCCATCATCCAGGTCTGGATGATGGAAAAGGAATAACTGGTAAGGATCATTCCTACATATGTTGCCTAGAAAGATGAAACTTCACTTTATACTGCTGAGATACAAGTCAAACTTTTACTTGAGGCAAGTCTGTAACACAATCACATCTCCAATTTAATCTAGCAGAGAAGATTTAGGTGTTCCACCTTTTCGACTAGAAAACGGCATTTACATCCTACCATCATACTTACAACCAAAATTTGGAAGAAAGAGAAGTAGAGGCGGAAACACTGACATGTTTTCTACTTGTACTTGTACTTGTTTTCATCGGCAAGCTCAGCCTCCTTGCAATATTTTTCACTAAACAAATGTACGACGATCAAGTGACCAACTCATGCCGTCTAAGTCCACTGTTCAATTTCACAGTCTGCGTGGAGAATACACACAGTACTCTTGAACGAAAGAAATCAGTAAGTCTTGAGGTGTACAAGAGGCTTAGAGTCATCAATCAAACTGGAACTGCTGGTAAGGACATGCAATTGTCAGTTCAGTGCACGTGGTTAATGTACAGAGAGGCGCACAATAGGAATTCATATTCTACCATCCCCAAGAACCAGGCCCCCCCTTGAATGGTCCGACGATTTTCGATGTGATCCAACCACCATAAAAATTTCCGGGTTGGGGCTGAGCCTGCTCTTCTCCAACATAACATGCATCCATCGGGCCTGCATAGAATGCGAGGTAACCTTTCACCGGAAGGAACGCTTCCGTTGGAGACTCATAGCTCCACGCAACATTCTCTGCTGTCTTAGCACCGACCATTAAAGTCCACCATGTGGCATCACCTTTCCATTCACAGTGTGAACTTCCAGTTGCTTTACTTAAGTGCTCCATTGTAACATCTGCAGCTGGTATGTAGTAGACTGTCCACATTCAAAAAGTTTTGTCAGAGGATTATATCTTATCCGACAGATAAGCCGGAGGCAATTTAAGTCGACGTCAAAGGAACACGTATCAACATCAAGAGTGGAGCATTCTCCGGTGATGGAAATCCGTTTACAAAATCAAAAGAACAACATACTTGTTGATCCTTGTCTATGTGTCACTAGAATCTTTCTTTTACACCAATACTCACAGGCTTAATTACCAAAGAACTAAAATTTAAACAATTTCATCCCAGTAGTATGCATTCACCTGCTTTGGATGCCTATTACACAACCCCTCATTATCTGGATGTAAACCCGAGATTAGAGTCAAGAGTTAAAACAGTTAATACAGCTATAACAGCTTAGAAATCGACTTAGTGTGGAGATATAGCTCAGAGAATCGACTCCAAAGCGATAGGTCCTCAAATCCTTTGAACCTCCTTACCACTTTACTAAGTACAAGGCACACGAGCAACCCAAGATCTTAGAATGAGAGGAAAAAACAGAACATAGAATGCCATAGAGAAACGACCAGAGAGGAAAGACAAAGACTGAAAGCGTATAACAATATCAGCAGACTATCTGAATTCTTAACTATAAAAACGTTCTGGCCCAACCCATATTCACATTAGTCAGGCTGTACTGCTTCACTTCACTGTGAGGTAGAATTCTAATGTGAGCAGAATTCTACCTCACATTAGAATTCTGCTCACCCAAGAAGCAGATAACAGGGAGACATCCTATTCCCGGAGGTATAGATCCGTGCTTCAGCAGTCGACTGCAGTCTGTTATATCCACTCCTGCTTGACTTCTGAGCTTAACTCATCCTCAACTGTATCCTCAACTTTTGGAATAGTTTTAACAGGTCGATAAGTTTCTACAGGTTGAACGAACCATATTTCAATGATTTTATATAAGCCCAGTTTTTTGTTACAAAGTCTCAGCCTCTCGTTTTAGATCAAAATGATGCGACGAGCTGCAAAAAAGGAGCAAACTGTTTGGTTGCAAACCAAACACAGAATTTGAGTGGTGACAATCCCATAGCAGTATATTAAAGAGCTAGAAATGTCATGATAATGGATACAAAGGTAGAACCTATGGTATTAGCCCACAAGGTTTGCCAATATGATATGACGAAATGGGATAATAAGCATAAAAGAGGGGAAATAAAAAAGTGTAGGAACGGAAAACTAGAGAAGTGATTTGAAAACTGAGAATTGCAACAACCACAAAAACGCTTGATACAGAAAGACAAATGGGCTACGGACTAACATGTAAATGCAGAAAAAATCCAAGAATCTTTACCAATGGTATTATGGTTTGACATTGAAGTACTTTCATTTCAACGTTTACAGCACAGAATCATGGCGTCCGGGTTACTATATGGTGCACCCCGTTATGGATATCCAAGTGTATATCCAGAAACATTCATCTCCAAAAGTACACATTTGAAACGGGGGCCCACCATAGTAGCTTGATTGACTACAATCTCGGGAACCAGACTTTAACATGGCATCCATGCTTGGGAGCCTTTATCAGACTTAAGGTTTTTAGCCATCTTGCTGCTAACAGCAATACCTCTAGAATGAGACCCGGTGCAGCGGTAATACAACCGCAGGCTGCATCCAAGAAAATTTTGCAAGTCTATGATCACTCTCCTGTATCACATGCAAAGCGGACTGCACTTCATACATCTTGGTTTTAACTGACAGAAATCCTTGAATAGGGACAGCAGTACAAGGCCAACCCACCTTCAACACTGAAATTTCTGGAGGAGATTCATTGAAAGAGTCATATTTTCAATTCCTGATGATTTGCATCCAGTTAGGCACAATCCAAAGTGGGCAAATCTCTCTGACGCACTTCTATGAAGCAGCACATTAGCAGACGGTCTGACAGCGAAACAGAATGGTAACATCAAGGACTTCAATAATAACATATCAGAAAATTCACAGTATATATCAAGGAAACAAGTCGAAGAAGCAATCAAATGAAGACCACCGTTCATTATTCACTGGAAAATTAGTGTTATAATTCATCATTCCGCCATTCGATAATCGAAAGGTGGAGGTATTAGCTCAGTGGTGGACCAATCGGCTGAAGTCCGATAAGTCAACGATTCAATCCTCGCTGCCTCCAGCAAATGCGATAGAATCGTTTTACCCCACTACGTAGCACGTAACCACGTTGGAGACCACACTACCACAGTTTCTGCAAATTCATGAGCTCCCGGAGCCCTGACGTGGTTGCCGAGAGCCAATCGTCCTCGCACCCTTAGATGCAGCTTGCCATGGATACTGCAATCGGTTGGAGTCTTACAATGGACCTACATGTTATAACTGAATACCAAGTATTGCAAAAGGGATGGGAAGACCCCATCAAGTCATACAGGGATGAAACCAAAGGGGTAGGATGGGGCTAGGCCCCCAAGTTATAACTATCATGCAGCATGTCACATAGAGAGATTGCCTGAAGGTATGTCAACGTTCATTCTTCTATAATTCGAATGCTAATCAATCCCCCATATTGCTTCATTCATACAGCAGAGACGACGCACAAACCCATCCACTCGTCAGAGAAGGTATGCTGATGTTCAGTGACAGAGCAATCGGCGGTGATTCTGCAGTTGAGTCCCACTGCCTCTCAAATTCGGCCTGTCATAAGCCAAAAGCAACGAAAGATTTTGAACAGAGATCAGAGACTTCATTTTTGGACAGTCTACAAGCACTGTGTATGTTACAGAAAATACTTTGTTCGAGCGCGCGAGCGAGCGATCGGCCCAGCCATCGCGACATTGGGCTTTTCCTAAATTGATGTTGCTCCACGGGCAAAATATAGTCGCTTTGCAGTAGAATCATGAATTCTAGAGTCTGTTATAGAGTCAAGCACTTGCCAACAATAATTACCGAAAGCGCCGGTCTACGGAGTTAGAGCTCTGTGCTGGGGCAATTGGGAGGGATCATCACTCACAGAGTCACATATCGTTTATACTCCGAGGACAGGCTTACCGTCTCTTGTGGACCCCTGGCTGACACCGACACCTGTATAGTGGTTTTGAAAGCACAAAGCCGCGTGTCATCTTTTCCAGGAGACAACTGGAAGGCGGGAGTCCGTCGTGGGGGTTATGATATTTCACGAGCGGCTACTTGTAGATGCCTACAAGTGCAACAATGACAGAGCTGATAATGTATTGAGTTCTGACAGTTCCTCCTGGCCCCAACGCCTACGTATCAAACGTTGAGGCTCAAGGCTTGAGCTATGGTCGCTGGGGCCATAAAGGAGCGCGTAGACGAATTCAATGGCCTAGCTAAAAGTGCGCCCAGACTCTGCAAGCAAGTCTTTCGGAAACTTTGCGGAAGGATTTCTCCAATAAACTCTAGAGATCTACTACTGCACCGAGACCACACTCTCGGCTAGAGTCCAGGAGGAGTCCATCACCCACCATCCGACCGGCCAAACTTGCCACATGCATGAACATCTTCTAGCAGCACACTGGCCTGAAAATACAGCTAAACAACACTAGGAGCTCGAGCTCCATAGCACTGTGACATGCTGCTTTCTGAAATCTCATCCCAATTCCATTGACAAATATAGTGATGATAGTTTCCACTCGAATCCGCATCAGATGTCAGCCTAGGACTCTAGGAGCCCCCCTGCCTAAAGAGCTGTCGCAGACGTCAACACCATCACCAACAATACGCGTAGCTGAAATCTTTCATTATGCGAAAGAAACCGGCAGTGTGCGCTGCAGAGTCTTCAGCACATCGTGCAGGATCTGTGAGAAGTCAAAGAAGTGACAATTTTTTCAGAGTCTCACCTGGCGCGTGGCTTGTTTCGAGAACTCGATAGGCGTTGGTGGTTTCTGCAATTTTCTCTCCATTGAAGACAATTTTGATTTTTTCTGGAACTTTTTCAAGTGCGGGTGGCCTTGGGTAATCCCATACGGACTCCTGACCAGGTCCAACTGGCTCTCTGGTAACTGCTGCCATCACAGTCGTTGTTGCTCTTGGTCCACGCGAATGCTTTGATATAGAGAACCGATCCCAACCTTCACCCTGCAAACCTAAACGCCGCCGACTGAATTCAGCAATATAATTTAATGTAAGTGACCTCCTCCTGATTACCGAAGCGGAGGGACGGAATTACTCAAAGCATGAAACTGCCAGAAACAAGCGTACTCTTCAACTGCATTTTCAGCTGAACCGCAGCTCAGTTCAGGTCACAGATATCGGATCGGCCTGCATTCCGAAGTGAGAAAAGACACAATTCAAATCTGTTTAAGCGCGCAACATTATCTGATACCCGAAATTATACACTTGAACGGCGGAGCAACAAAGCTGCTAGACTATTCATACACATGGGATAATCACAGAACACATCCACGAGGTTCAGCTCATATTCAAAGGGAAACCGGAAACCAACATGTAGTGACAAGAACCTTGTAACTCCAGTGGCTGAAAACCACTCTCGCGTCCTTCTGATTCGTAGCGTTCCGATGTAGAAGTTTAGTTTCCTTTCTCCTGATCTTCCACAAGTGCATAGGACGAAACTAGCAGCAAACTGGTGAGCTCGATTACTTGAAGACACAATTGAGAACGCCGAACCAGAGAGGCGGACTTGCGCAGCTTGCCCCATGTAAACACCTGCCATCGTGACGCAGCAAAGTGTACGAGCCTCTGATTCGCATGATCTGCAAAGACACTAGATGTTTCTGCAAAGTCTCGCCTTCTGTCCAACGTGCTTGCGTCGCGTGGATAGACGTGGACAACTTCTCTGCCTCATTGTCGTAGTTACAAGTGTGTTTTATCTGTTGAATATCCACATGTACTCCATAACACCTGTCATACCAGATGGGATTCGAGCTTTTCCGGACGTAAACGGTCAATCTGCGTTACTAGAAATCCCACTGCTTTGTCGCACTCCGTTAGAAGTTCATCATTGTTTAGTACATATTATAGTTATAATATTGTTAAATTTGACTAATAAATTTATTATTTATAATTTTTATTTTCATTATATTTTAATTATTTAGATCAAATATAAAATAAAGTGATTTTTATTTATGATACAGTTCAAAAGATTTTGTAGTTATTCGAAATATATTAATAATTATTTTTAATGCAAAATATTAATAAATTTATTAATATTGTAATTTGAAATTTTATTGATCATATGTGTTTGTTTATTATATATTATAAATTGAAATAAATCATAAGTGTATAGATATTATTAAAACCAAGCGTTTGATATGAAATTTTGATTTTATATTTTTCTAAATATTTTTTAAATAAAATTTTATTTTATTTATTGCTGATTTATTTTTTTTTAATTTTTCGTATTATTTTCATACATAAATTATTATTTTTTAAATTATTAAATTCTGAAACTAGACCGTCACAATCATATTTTTACTTCAAACCTTAATAAATTTTATATTTTATTTATTGCAAATTTTAAATCATCACTGTATTTGAAAATATTAATAAAGTAATTTTCATAATATTACTGTAATTCTCTATAATATTTTAATTAGTTGTTTAATTGTATATTGATAATCATGTTTTTAAATTTTTTAATTATAATCTATTTTGGCATACAATAATACAATATATATATATATATATATATATATATATTAAAATTTATATATCAAAATCTAACCGTTATAATTATAAATTTTAATCCATTGATTCACATTAAAAATATATTTTATTTTTGAAATAAATAAGATAATAAAAATAATTTGATATATATTAATACTATAAAAATATATTTCAACAAAGATCAGATGAATTATTTGGACATAAATTTAAAAATAATAAGTAACTTCAATTCATAAAATATTTCACAAATGATCAATGTGTGGATAACATTTGCACAATAATTAATTAATACAAAGTCATAAATGTATATTATCGTTAGATTATCATTTTTCAAAATTAGATGAAATTTTGTAAACATTATAATGTATGTGTTTTTAGCAATCTTGACATTAATTTCTGTATTAAATATATTTAAGAATTAATAAATGAATTTTGTTTGACATTTTATCTTACTCATTGAAAACAAATTCATGGTGTTGACTTCATGATATGTAACCAAATAAATAAAATCAAAATCTCTAAATGTATTCCTAAATGTAACTATTTACAGTTTAATATATTGTAGAGATTTTATGAAATATAAATGTTGAATTTATTGCAAACATCATACAAGCCATGTTATAACATTTTTCTAACCATGTTATGACACTTCTATATCAAACTACATGTAATTATCAACTCCAAAGTATAAGCTAAAGGCTTTGAAACTTGAACCAACTACACATTTATATGATATTGGTTAAAAATGCACATCATCATGAAAGTAATTGAATTTTAAGACAATACATTACATATAATCTTGTGGAATATATAATGACTTAAAAGACATCAATGGTTCATTGCAAGTTTAACTCATTATGCTTAAATAACAAAGAGGAAATACATTCATCTGCAACCTCTCTTATACTAAATTTGTAATTACTTAATGTTATTGGGTCAAACCTTCATATTCAATTTGATTTGAATTATTTTTTACTGTCAAATGAATGTTGAAGAGGTTGAATAAAACTAATAATTACAGAATCAAGTTATTTCAAATCTCTTGTATTTCTAACGTAAGATTTTTCAAAGCTATTTAGTACAATCTGGATCAACAAGCCGCATTGGCTTGTATTTTTTGTTTTGTTATGTAAATATCACTTAAGACAAATGTTTTGATTTCAATTTTACATTCAACACAAGTGATAAATCAACTTTTGAATAACATGGTTGGGAGGTAGAAAGCAATTATTATTATGAAAAATTTGAACACATCTATTTATTTTGTTATCACTATGATATTTTTGAAATATTAAATATCATATAGATATCTTTTGGAAAGTGCACTTATATATAAAATTTTATAATATATTGTAATGCATTTTGTATCATAAAATCAATAAATTTTTATTTTTTAATCAATATCTATTATATTATATAACAAAAATTGAATAAAATATAACAAAAATAATCATAAAGAAGTTGTATTTGTGGACAAAATTATGTGCATACAAAATTGGATGGGTATACTATTGAGATGTTTATATTGTGATTTAA